TGTTTTGTGTCTTTCTGCATTTCTGTAATGCATTAAGAATGCATTAATGTATTCCTTGGCCAACAGACCCACAGACAGACAAAAACAAGAGGACAGGCAGAACATTCTGCCCAGGGACACACAACACGGTAGAGGAAGATATGGTCAGAACACAGACCTCCTGATTCCTACACTGGACTCATTCCTCTACCGCCTCCGAATCTCCACAGCTGTTTCCTTTACTCCACAGCCCTTGTTATAATCACAGCAGCCACCACTTATCTTGGCATCAGGTTGCTACAACCCTAAGAGGTACAGACTATCCTCACGCATATCTTGCAGATGAGAAGACTGAAGCTCCAGGAGGGGATGTCCCTGTGTTTGAAACCTTTCGTCTAATGCAAAGAGACAGAAAGTCCTTTGTGCCCCTGCTTCCTGGCCCCTCACACCCAGAAGCCACTCAGGAAATGCAGGTTGGCCTGAGAGAACTGACCTGATATTCCTCTTCGGTAAGGCCCTCAGCCAGGGCATGCTGGCGCAGCTGGTCGGGGTCCTGTGCACGGAAGAGGCGGCTGAGCAAGGCATAGATGTAGGGGGCCTCAGGGGAGGTCTGCAGCAGCACGGCCAGGCCTCCATACCAGGCAGCCCGTGACAGGTGGTGGGCATAGAGGCGCTCTGTGGGTAACAGCAGGCGGAAGGCCTCGCGGCAGTCCAGGCTAGACACGCCGATGTCACTGGGGAGGATGTACTGGGTGTCCGCCATGGGCCCTGCTGAGAACCATCACCATGATCACAGCCATCATTTATCGCACGCCAACTGCACACCTGACTCTGCACTCTCACAGTCTGATTTAATCCTCTCCAAAGTCCATGAGGAAGGGAATACCACTGTACCCATGCACCAGATATGCTAACTGAGGCTCAGCGACGGTTAGGTGACTCACCCAAGGAGATTACAAAATATTCTGGCAGGCAATGTTTGGCCCATGGCCTCTCAAACTTAAAGACTGAATCCAACTACCTAGTATTACAGTTGGGGAAACATGTCCAGAGAGGCTAGAGCTTTGCCTAATAACACAAGGGAGAGGTCAGAAGCAGAGATCTGCATCTCTGGACTCCCAGCCCCAGGCCTCACTCTTCCCCTCCTCCTTCTCTGACCTCCTAGCCTCCTCCTTCAGAATCATCCTGCAGGTTCTTCAATTCTGCCCACCACTGTGCTCATAAGGACAAAGTCCCAGTTGGAAGACCCAGGTTCCAATCCTGGCTCAGCCCCAGACTCCTAATATCAAGTCAATTGTTTTACTTTTCTGCCCCTCCATTACAGCCTCTGTAAGATGAGATTGATAGTAACCCCAGCCTCACCAGGTGGGTATGCAAATTAGATGAGGTCACGAGGTCACAAGGTCACCCCAATCGAATGGAATGTACCTACAGGAGTAAATGATTTTCCCTGAACTCTTCCTCTCTCACTGATCCCAGGATCTGTCCCACCCTCATCTCTCTGCCTTTTCTTCGGTCCTCCGTCCTCCTGTCCTCTCCCTGTACTGGGCCAGGGGAGCTACCCTAGCTACAGAAATTCAGAGTTGGGAGAAAACTCATTTTACAGTTAGGGAGATTGAGGCCAAGCAACTTACCGAAGGTCTCACTGCCCGGTTGGGATCCGGGTGTCTCCCAACCCAGAGTATACTCCACAAAGCCCTCTCTTACTAGGAATGAGTTTCCAACCTCCCCCGCCCCTACCGGTGCTACTCCCCAATAGCACAATCCCCTGGGTTCTAAAAGGAGTGTTAACCCTTTGCTGCCTGGAGCATTCCTTGGCCTCGGGGCTGCGATGAATTTGGCAGGGGTACGGGATGGGGGGCAGAAAGAGAATGATCTTGCGCTCGGCCCAGACTTGCCCTGTCCCCCGAGGATGACACATTGTGACCCCGAAACCCGGGCGCCGCGCCTCACCTCACCTGCAGCAGCTGCTCCGATCGCAAACTCACTTCCTGCTTCCGGCTCCCCCCATTCATTGGGGCTCCGCGAACTCCGCCCCCACCAGCCAATTGCCGGGCCTCGGGGCCCGGACGGGCATCGCCTTCAGCCAATAGGCGCACCGAGGCGAGCTTCGCCGGCTTGCCGGCTCCCCGCCCCAGGCACCACGGCGTCGTAAGCAGAACGGCCCTTGTGTCCTTGGCCTCTTGTCGGCAGGTGGCGCCCGCGCGGGGGTCAGGAACCTCAGTGGCCTGGCCGGTGGCGGCCTAGTTCCGGCAGACGGGGCTGGCAAGGGACCCCGAGTCCAGGCGGGGCGGCGTAGCTGTCGCGGACAGAGCACCAGGGATTTCCCCCCCCACAGTCCTGACCTCCGCTCTCCTTTGGGGTTTTTCCCAGTCCCCCGAGCTCAGTTTTGTATGGGGAAACCTGCACCGTGGGAGTGATGTGGTCCTTCCTCGGTGGAGTCGAGGGCCAGGGGGCGGAGACTCTTCCGAGACTGCAAAACCCTTCGCGCAGGGAATCGAGGCTACAGGTGAGCGGGCTCCTGCCAGGGCTGACATGGTCCTACCGTGTGGGGGGCGCGGAGAAACGCCCCCAAGTACTTCCCTGCACCGCTACCGACTTACTGTGGGCCTGATGGGGGCTGCAGCTGAGTATCTTCGAGCCTCAGTTTCCTCAGCACAAAGGGGCGAGGGGCCTGGCAGTTCCCTGGTGCTTGCCGGGTGCCTGACGGATGAGCAAGCCGCCTGTGACCCCAAAAGGCTGCCCAGGGCAGAGCCGAGCCTTGGATGTCTTGAGAGACTCACAGGAGGATGGCCTGGGCGGGGAATGGCATGTGGAAGGGCCAAGCGCCCAGCCTGGGCGAAGTGGGGAACATGGTGAGGGTCCCAAGTCAGAGGTGGGGCAGAGCCAGGCCATCTACGGTCCAGTCAGGCCTCCCCTGCCTACTGGCTGTGTGTCCTTGAGTGGGACACTTTACCTCTCTGAGTCTTGGCTTCCTCAGCCAGAGAACCAGGCTAAAAATCGTCTTTACTCAGAGGGATGTTGTAGGCTTGAGTGAAGTGTTGACAGGGTAGTGCTGCCCCCTAGTGTTGTGCAGAGAGGGGTGGAAGAGAGGGGATACCTTTCTTGCCAGCCTTGGCCACACCTGTGTCTCAGCCCAGAGCAGCAGCTACCCAGCAGTGGCACCAGTTTCTCATTCACAAAAAGTGCCCAAGGCCCTGATTGGCACAGTGGTGCGAACTGTTGACTCTGATGGTGATTTTCATTGTAGGGAGGAGCTCAATAAATTGGTCTGTGTCCTTAGAAAATCACTCTTTTTCCCTGTGCCTCGATTTTCATTGTCTTTAACATGCGTGTAAAGTCTTCCTTGACTTGGGAGAGGTTGAAATGTACACAGATAAAGAAGGAAGTGCCTTCCATGGACACCAGTGGGCAGCTCAGGCCAAGGAAAGATCCCAGTACTCCTGGGAAACCCCCAACCAAGCTGCATTTTTATCTTCACAGCTAATATGGGCACTTCCTGAAGGTCTGTGCTAGCAGCTTGACATGGAGGATCCCATTTAATTCTTGCAGAAACCCTGAGATAGGATATCATTTTACCTGTTGCACATATGGGGAAATGGAGGCTGATGGATTCATTGACTTCCCTAAGGCCACCCAGGAAGTCCTCAGGTGTCCCTGAACTGGGGTCTAGCCTTCCACCACATTGTCCCCTCCACCTGTCCCAACACACACACACACACACACACACACACACACACAGTATCACATGCATCAGTCTAATCCCTGGAGTCATGACCATCCCCAGCCTTGGCTCTTGCCCATGGGAATGAAGGAGAAGGTGAGGAAGTAATATTAAGTACATACTATGTTACAGGTGTCCTCCATACATTCACAACCACCTGGCAACATAGGAACTGTTATTCCATTTAACAGCTAAGGAGACTGAGGCTCCAAGAGTTGGAAAGGGGTAGAGCTGAACCAAGACCAGGGCTGTCTGACCGCCTCCACCAACACCTCTGAGTTCTCCCTCGTGTGGCACCTGTGCCTTTTGCTTGCCTCTCCTCCTAGAGAGTCTGAGGTTCCCTGATAGAAATGGCATGGGAGTGTTCCCCCGTTTGGTTCTCAAAAGAGTGAGAAGAGAGGAACTGGAAAGAGTTGGATTCTTACTGCTCTGGCTGTGTGTGTGTGTATGTGTGTGTGTGTGTGTGTGTGGATTCTTACTGCTCTGGGTGTGTGTGTGTGTGTGTGTGTGTGTGTGTAGGAGTTGCAATGCTCCCAAGTCCACCCCAGCATCCCCATCTGGGGATGCAAGTCTGATCACCTCCTCTCACCACCAGCAAGTGCCCTCTCTCCTCTCAACAGTCCCCGGTCTGGTCTCTGCGGCTCCAGCCCACCGTGTGGATTAGGGCAGGTCCCTCCCCTTGGAATCTGTACTCCCTAAGGCTCTGTCTTCCACTGGGGATGATGCCCAGGTCAGGCTGGTACTCAGAGCCTCTTCTTCAGATTTTTATATTTCCAGAACCTCCATCTACCTGTCTTTCCAACTTGTTTGCCCCAGGAAAGCTCTGGGGCAATCCCAGCAGCACCCCGAGCTTGCCTTGGCTCTCAGGAAGAGGCGACACTTAGCCAAGATGAATAGGGATCCAGTTCAGACTTGGCCTCTATGGCAACCAAGGCCCACCAGACCCCAGCCCAACATTCCCAGCCCTCATTCCTCTTTTCTGCCTCCTCCACACCCACCTCATTGGTCATCAAGCATTTTCCCTGCCACACCTTTGCCCATGCTGTTCCCCTTACCTGGGTTGCCCTCCAGACCCCTCCCATCCCTGTCCAAGGAAAGCAGCCCAGTGTGATGGAGGAGAGGGCAAGCTCTGAGGCTAGGCAGTCAGCTGTGGATTCGAATCTGACTTGGCCGCTTTCCAGCTGTGTGACTTGGAGCATGTGTTTTAATCTCCCTGTAAACAGAAATGGTAACACCTCCCTCCCTGGGTTACTGGGAGGATTAAATAATAAAACCTCTGAGAAGCAGAGCCTGGTGCCTGGTGAGTGCTCAATGAACATAGTTATTATTACCATTAGCACAGTGCAGGGCACATAGTGGGCATTCGGTGATGGTAGCCCTTGTGTCACAGCCAACACTCTGGAACCACGAGTCCTCTCCCCGCCCCCCCGCCCCTGCTCAACTCCTGACTGTCCAGAAATGAGAATCGGAACTTTCACCCAGCATCTTCCCTGTCAGCATGGCGCCAGCATCTCGTTCCAGCCACCTTTCTGCCCCCTGAAGCCCATGCTCCAGCCACTCTGAACCTCTCACTCAGTTCCCTGCATACTTACACCTGAGCCTGTGCTCGGCCTCCCTTCTGCCTTAAGTACCCCCCACCACTTCCTGTGGATCCTTCCTGTGGGGATTCCCAGCAGTCCAACGAGGCGGAGCCCTTATGCGCCTCCTCAGTGAAGCCTCTCTCACTCCTCACTTTTCTACCCTCCAGTGAGACCAGCTTCACAGCTCCTGGTGATTCTCTGATCCCAGCACACAGGAAGCCATGCTGTCCTTCAGTAATTTGTCTGTCATCCACTAGACTGTGAACTCTACCAGGCAGGGAACCAGGTCTGACTGTCTCTGTGTCCCCAGATCCCACTTGGCAAGGAGTCCTGCCCACAGTGGGTATCCGCAGATGTCGGTCCCAGCCTGCTGCCCACCCGGCACTCCCTTAGGTGCTGGAGGCGTTGCACACATGCAGGACACGAGGGATTTGTGAGGGCAGCTGAGCAGCAAGGTTTATAGAGGAACCCAGGGCAGCAGCAGGGTGATTATCTGGAACTGGGTCAGCAGGCTCAGGGCACAGCCAGCCTAAGCTGGGGGTCAGGGGCCCATGGCCCCTTCATTCCCCCAGGGGCACAGTGTAGGTGGCATGATGTGGGATGCCCCAGGAAGGGCCAGGGCGTAGGGGTGAGCCTCCCTCCATCAGCCCGGGACAGAGCTGGTGCTGAGGGCCCCATCATTCTGACCAAGGTAGGGGTCCCAGAGACCCCCCTTTGGAGCCAGAGTTAAGAGGGGAAGGGCACCATCCATCCAACCCGTCCATCTGGTGTGGCGATGTGCCAGCAGGTAGAGTCCCACATGCAGAGCTCCCTCTGGGCTGCAGGAGGTGGGGGACCTGGGTGGGCAGGCGGGCGCGGCAGCAGGGGGCCCCCAGGGAGCCTAGTCCAGCGGCCCCTGGAAAATGAGGCGGACACAGCCATGCTCGCCGGTGAGCCAGGCCCCACAAAAGGGACAAGCAGCGTGGAAAGCGTGGGTGCCATGGGGCAGTGGCGTCTGAGCCCAGTAGCGGGCAGTCTTCTCAGAGCAGACGTGGCCACAAGGTGCGAAGGCGTGGCTGGGCGGCCCGGGGTCCAGGCAGAGGCCGGCCTCCTGGCCGAGCCACAGGGGCACGTAGGGCCCCACGAGGCGGCAGAGAGGACACTCGCGCTCCTGGGGGCCCCGCTCACGTCGGCAGCCCCAGCCGTGGTAGCCGTGGACGTGGCCACAGCGGACGTAGACCCAGGGCTGCTGCTTGTCAGGTGCCGTGCGGCCACGGGCCGGGCTGGGGAAGGCGAGGGTACTGAGGCCCACGGGACACTGGGGCCGCGCTGCATTCGCCTCCTGCCTCTGGGCCTCCAGCTGCTTCAGCGTGGGCGCCCGCAGCAGCCCCGCCGGCGTGCGCCACAGCAGCGTAGCTCCACACAGGTCAATGAGGGAGCCGTCCTGCAGCACGTTGGACTCGTTTTCCACCTGCAAGGGCAGCAGAAGAGCCTTATTGCCCAAGAGGCTCCTGACCCCCCTGCCACTCGGCCGCCGTGACCCCAGTCAAGCCACCCATCCATCCCACTGAACCTCCCTAGAGAGAGCACTCTGGACCCGTGGGGCTGGCTGGGGCAGAGGAGGGGGTTGGACTGGGGCAGAGGAGGGGGGAGGGTGGGGGCAGAGCAGCAGAAAAGACTGAGAAGCCATGTGGGAGGGGAGGCAAGTGGTCCCAGGCAGGCACTGTCCGAAAAAACAGCAACAACAAAAAACACCCAGGCAGGCACCATTCCTTACACTCAGTGAAACGTGGGCCTTGGTCACCTCATCTGTCAAATCAGAAGGCCTGGACCAAAATGGGAATTTTCTAAAACATTTTCCCAGGCTCTCCCCTAATGGCAGAGGCCAGAAACTCCTCTGTCCAAAACACTGGGGACTTAGCCCAAAGCAGGGGTCCTAAGGGCTGAGGTTAAAAGCAAGGACTCTAGCACTAGATCGTCGGGGTGTGAATGCTGGCCTCAGCATTGACTAACTCTGTGTCCCTGGTCAAGTAACTTATCCTCTCTGTGTCTTAATTTCCTTATCCTCAAGATGGATTTTACTTCCCTGTATAGCAAGTGGTTTTCATGAATCAATATAAACACTTGGAACGGTGCCCAGAACATAGTAGGTGCTCAATAAGTGTGTCCTAGTGAAACGTTCAAAAGCATAATTTTAAAAAGTAATGTTTCCCCAGATCTCCCAATAGAATTGATGCTCTGGAAAGATAAGCCATGCTTTTCCTCGAGGTTTGGCATCTCCTTGCCCGAGGTGCTCATACCTAGGAAAAGCTCTGCGTGGCCCATTTGAGGATCTTCGCCACATGACATTGGGCAAAGCCCCTATGTCTCTCTAGGACTCTCCCAGCCCCTAACATTAGTTCTCTGGTCTGTACCACATGGAGCGTTCACTGTCACCTGTGTCAGAACTACTCCAAGGCCCTTTCCTGCTGGGAGAGAATAAAGCTGAACCCGTGTGAACGTGACAGACATGTTACAAACTGCCAACACTTCAGGCTACAAACTGCTCTCACACAGGCCAAGTGTCATCCTCATAGGAGGGTGTGAAGTTTTCAGCTGCTGGCATCCTCAAAGCCACTTGGTACTGCACGGTGTGTTTGTGTGGGTGCCACTTCACATCACCCCAGGGACCTCCGGCAGTATGTGGGCTACACTTGGAGATGCTGGTCTGTTCCCCTCTGTGGTGCAAGTGGCACGTGCCCCCAGATGGACCCTGTGGGGGATCCCTTGTGCAGCAGGACTGGAGATCATCTGTCCTGGCTTGGGAAGGGGGAAGGGGAGATTGGGAGGACCCAGGAAGGATGAGGGGGTGGGGAGGAGGGTGGACAGGCCACCTACCAGCTTCCCCCGCTGCTGTGCCGAGCGGCTGTCCCTCAGAGTATATACATTCCCACAGACCGAGATCTCCCGCCAGACACCCGGGGCCGAGTCCTCAGAGAAGCCGCCTGCTGGGTGCATCACCAGGACCCCGTTGGTGGTTAAGCCGTCCATCAGGCCGTCAGGGGTCCGCCATTTGGCTGCCCGCTCCTGGGACCACACGTGGGATCAGATCACATCCCTGAGTGGCCCCCAGCAGGCTGCGAGCCAGGAGTGCTGCCCCTCTACCCTCGAGCTCAGAGGTGGCCCGGAGAGGACTAGAATTGGCGCTGCGTGACCTTGGGCGTCACCTGACCTCTCTGAGCCTCGCTTTGCTCATTTGTTAAGTGGGGTTGCTAATCCCCGCATAGGTCATGGTTATGATTACTGCAGGCTGGTCCATCACCCCAGGATGCTGCCCCTCCCCAGCCTACCCCTCGGCTCACTCTCAGATGTAGTGCTGGTCCCTGCCCGGGGGGCTCACTCACTCCAAGGAAGATGTTGCTGGAGGCATCGAAGCCAGCGGCATAGATGCGGGTGGTATAGGGCGGCCGGCGGTCACAGAGGATGCGGCAGGCATAGCGGGAGATGGTGCTCTGGGCAGAGGGGCCCTCGGCAGCCCCTCCTCCAGGGGACGTGTCTGTTACCACAAAGTCGATCATGTTCTCCGTGGAGCGGCCAATCTGTGAAGGAGGGGAGGGCAGGCACAGGAATGCTGTGTGCACAGGTCAGTCCTGCGGGCTTCCCATCCCAGGGTTCCCAGCAGCTGCTCTGTGTGCAGGGTCACCAAACAAGGAGGGGACAGCACCATCCCAGCTCCCTGGGGGTCTCCACATCCAATCACTGGTGTCTGTGTTTCTCCTTCTCTGTCTGCCCCCCAGTTCCTGGAAGCACCCCACTCAATTAAAAACTAGCTGATTTGCGGATAGAACAGTGAAAGGGTAACTGACACCCATAGTCTGGGAATGTTCAAATGTTAGTAGAAAATAGTGAATTTTTGGTAAATATTTACTATATATCATGTTAAGCATTTCGTGTGCAATATCTCAGTTAATCTTCCCAACGATGCCCTGGGGTGGGACTATAATGGGCCCCACTTTACAGATGAGGAAACCAAGGCCCAGAGAGGTTAAGCGACTCTTGCCCAAAGTCATCCAGCTACTAACTGACGGAGCTGGGAGCAGAAGCCAGGCAGTGCGACTCTCACAACACACTCTGAACTCCTAAACTGTATGCCTCCCGCAGGTGGGAGTCCAGGCTTGGGTCTGAATCTTGATCCAGCCACTGACTTCCTGTGTGACTGGGAAGTCAACAACCCTCACTGGGGTGTCGTGCTTCCTCATCTGAAGAGTGATCCACTGCACTGAGGACACAAAGTACCTGCCCCGTGGCCACGAGCCATCCCCTGGAACACCTGCAGAGCTGAGTGTCCAGGCCTGGTGGTCCAGTGGCCAAGGCTTGTGGAGGCGCCCGAGCATACCTGGAACATGTCTGTGTCACTGTCATGTGTGTACTCGACTATGACCGAGTGGCTCCGGGACAGTGTGTACGAGATGCTGTGCTGGCCACGGTTGCTCAGTGCCTGGTGACAGAAAGGAGAAGTCACTTTCCCGGGCATGTGGCAAGGAGAAGGGTGAGCCTTTAAGCCAGAAGCTGGAGCCCAAGGCCCAGTGGCCACTCCTAGGGAAGGGGTGGCTCCACCCTTTGCAGAGGGTGTATTATGCAGTTGGCACTTTACACAGGTTACCTTGTTTGATCCCTAAAGCCACCCGAAGGAGGCATGGTTATCATTCCCGTTTTACAGTTGAGGGAACTGCAGCTCCAAGAGGAGAAGAAACTGGCCTAAGGTCTAACAGCTGGAAACAGCAGAGCCCGAATTCTAACCCAAACCCTCTGCAGCCAAAGGCCTTTCCTTTGTCATTGCTGTGTGACTGTCACATCCCCTCTCTGAGCCTTGGCCGCCTCTACAATGATGCTGACCACTTCCATCCAATGGATGGGGTCTGGTGGTCAAGGAAACACTCTGCAGACTGTAACACATGGCAAGGGATCTCCCACCAGCCCCATTTCTCTGGGGCAGTGAGTGAAGACACAGTGGGCTCCCCTGCTCCAGCGGGGCTGTGGGCAGGTAGGACTGGGAAGACCAGCACCCAGGACTGCTAGGACAAGCTGCTTGCCTTGGACACAAGCGGTGTGGAGATGTGGTGCATGACGTCCGGCTTCACTCCATTGGCGTGTGGCCGGCGGTTCAGTGCCAGGCGGCTTCGGCGGCGGCCCTTGTCCCCACTTGCCAGACACCCATTGTAGCTGTGGATGTGAGGGATAAGAAGAAAGGGTTGCAGGGAGAGAGAGAGAAAGTGAGCCCCTGAGAGACTAGGAGGAACTGCCAACTTCTGGGCAGATCCTACCTTAATAAACAAGCCCTAGAACCACCCACAACTAGAAGACCCTACTCTATCCAATTGGTGCCTTCGGGGAGTGGGGTGGGGGTCAGAATATCCTCAAAAGGCCTTGCATCCAATTAACCAGTGTTTTCTGGACTCCTGAACCATGCCTGGCCAGGTGCCAGGTGCTGGCATGGTATAGTGACACACCACAGTCAGTTCTGTGCCCTAAGTTTTTCAAGGAACCCGGGTGCCACCTGCCATGATCCAGGCACAAGCCAAGTATGCCCCAGGCCCAGAGACAGGAGAAGGGAATTCTGGCCCCAGGATCAGGTTTCTAAGAGAGGGGACACCCATACTGGGCCTTGAAGAACTAGAAAGGATTCACCTTTAGCAAACTGTCATTAATTATATCACAAGTACTACCGGAAACCAGAATGAAAGAAAAAAAACAGACCCACAATGCCACTACCTCCATATCACCACACACATCAAATTTCTACCTTCCTTTCCAGCTCTCGTCCGGAGGGAATGATTGTGGAAGGCAAAGATGGAGTGAGTCATAACCTTGATTGCTGCCATGTACCGGAGCCTCCCGTGTTCTTGGTGCTTCACATTATTAATTACCTAATGGAACGTGTGCAACGTCCTGCCAGGCAAGTATCTTTCTTCTCATTTTACGAATGAGGAAAATTGAGGCTCAGGGAGATAAAATGACTTGCCTGAGGTCCCAGGCTAGTCAGTGGGAACAGTCTAGATGTGAACTCGGGTCTGTCTGACTCCAGCCTCTTCTGCAGAAGACTTTCTGTAGGAGGGCTCACCCTGAGCAAAGGCCTTGAGGCTGGAAGGGTTTGGTGAGATCACAGAGTGATGACTTGGGTGGTAAAGTGCAGCAGGGGAAAATGAACTTGGTGGGAGGGCCCTGAACACCGGGCTGAGGATTCCGGACTTTATTCCATAAGCAGTGGGGAGCCATGGAAGGTTTGGCGGCAGGAAGTGAAAAGGATGAATAGCTGGCAAATACAGCTGAGGACCACTTGAATCAGAATCTTCCCCGGCCTCACACATGGAGATTCTGATTCTGTAGGTTTGGGATGGGCCTGTCAATGGGTATTTTCCAATGTGCTCGCCAGGTGGCTCTGATGTCCAGCCAGTGTGGGGCTTCACTGCCCTGCAGAGAACAAATGGCAGTCAAGAGGGCCTGTCCCCTTAGGTCTGAGCTCTCCCTCGTCAGTGGCCTCACCCTCAGCTGCAATGCCAGCTCTTCCTTTGGGACATCGAGCAGCTGCTTTTTTTTTTTTTTTTTTTTGAAAGTGTGGAGTCCTAACCACTGGACCACCAGGGAATTCCGAAGCAGCTGCTTTTCTAATGCAAGCACCCCTGAGAGGGGCATCACTTTTGCCCTTGTAAGCTCTTCCCACATATGGCGGGTGGGACAGTTCAGGACACAGGCTGGGGGCTCAGACTGGCCTGGCTTAAATCCTGGCTTTCCCGCTTATCATATGACCTCTGTAAAATGGGGTTAATTTATCAGGACCTACCTCACAGGTTCATTGTGAGAACTAGAGGAGATAAAGCATTTAAAAATGCTTGGCACAGAGTTTGGCATATATATAGCAAGCCCTTGGTAAGTGTTAGCTATTATTATTATTATTACTGAAAAAAAAAGTACATGGCATGTACATGTCAACAAACAGTAGCCATTATTATTTCTAAATAATCATCACAATGATAACATAGCTTATCGTATACTATACTTTCTTCGGGGTAGAGAGAGAGGCCAAAAGGAGGTACAGACAGGGGAGGAAGGAGAGGAATTTTTGCCTGGGGCAAGAGCTAGGTGGGTGGTGCAGAGATCCTGGTCAGGTGAAGACCAGGAAGGGATGAGCTCTACTCAGCCACCAACTCATGTCTCTTCCTCTCTCCTGGCCTCAGTTTCCTCATCTGTAGCGTGAGGGTCAGCTGTAGCTTAGCAAAAGTTCACTAGACCTAGAGTAAAAAGCCCTGGGTCCAAATCCCAGCCCTGCCACTTACCAGCTGTGTGCCCTTGGGCCAGTCACTTCCCCTCTCTGAGCCTCGGTTTCCTCACCTCCTTCCTCACAGCATCTTTGTGAAGATTGAAATGAAATAATGTCCATGAAAGGGCTCGGCACAGGCCTGCCTCCCAGAACACTTGGTGTGTGCCAGGCACTGTCCTACGTGCTTTACAGAAATCACCTCATTCATTCCTTCCAACAACCCTCTGAGGTATTATTATTAGCATCCCTATTGGGAAATGGGAAAACAGAGGCACAGGGAAGTTAAGCAACTTGCAAGGCAGGATTTGAACCAAGCAGTTTTGCTGGAGAACCAGAGTTCTTCACCTCAGACTACACACACTAGGTGCTTTATGAAAGGCAGCTGGTGTTACTTTCTTCTGCTCAGAAACGTGGGTGGGCAGTTAGAGTTGTCTCAGTAATTTATGAAAAATGGGAAGATAAAATAATAATTATGAATTGAGGTGGGCTTGGTCAACTTTGTCTCTCAGCTGGGAAGGTGAGGAGGGAAAAACAGCAGAAGGCCCTAAGTGGGGAGAGCCGGGGCCCTTGGTCTGGCTGTCCTGTGGGGTGCCTGGTGCCCCACCCCACCTGAACCAGGGAGGCTCACCCCAGAACGATGAGTTCACCATACTTGATGGGCTCCTCCCCTGGCTGTGCATCTTCACTGGGAGAAGAGAGGACACAAGAGCCCTGGTTCTCTGGGTGCTGGAGGTCTGAGGTTCGGGGGGAGCCCACTTCAGGGTTTCCTTCCAACACCATTCTGGGCAGAGTGGGAGAGGAGAAAAAGAGCTTTGCAGCCTCCCATCCCAGCCCCCTCAATGCCAGCTCCAGCCTGCTGCAGGCCACCTAGGCTAACAAGAGAGTGACCTTTCACCCACTCTGTTGCTATGGCAACCACTTCACTTCTGCCTCCCCTAAACTGACAGGGTTGCTGGGATACCAGGGAAGGGAGATGGATGGGATGGAACCAAGAGGGTGGGGCTGCACAGAGGGTCAGAATATTTGGCAGGGGCAGAGGGATGGACCAACTTGGGGTGGCCAGAAGCTTCTTTTTGGCCAGGACCTCAGTCTGGGATGTGCTTGGAAGAAAGTCACCCCAGGAGTTGGGGGCCCTCACTGCTCATCCTTCACTCAGTTCCTGGGTTTGGCTCTCAGCCCCGGGACCTCTGAGTAACACTTCTGTCAGGTTTTTGGAATCTACCTGTCCATCTTAATCTTTCTGCCCCTTTGCCGGTCTAGGCCTCTGTCTGTCTGTCTGTTTTCTCAGTGACTCTCTGTCCCCGCCGCTGTCCTTTTCGCCATCTCTCTACCCACGCTCCTCCCCATCTCCGCCTGTCTGGCCACCTCTACCTCCCCATCCATCTGCCCCAGTCTCCCCATCTTGTCCTCGCCCTGCGGGCAGGCCTCTGGACCCCTCCCCGGTGCACCCCCCTCCCTCCCTCAGGTGTCAGTCTGCAGTCCCCGAGCCGCCCGGGTCTCTGGAGGCCTGTGGGGGCGGCGCTCCCCCCTCCCGCTCGGGCTGCAGCAGAGCCGGTCCCCGCAGGAAGCCTGTTTGGAAAATATCCCAGCGCAGGAGGGACTGCGCCGGGGCAGGCCGGCGCCCCGCGCCCGGGGCAGGCACAATGACAGCCCAGCACATACGCAGATACACACCCGGCGGCCCCTCCACACAAACACGCGCGCTCACACACACAGTCCAGCACAACCCGAGCCCCGCGGGCAGTGCCCGGACGGGAGCAGAGTCCACCCTCGACCCGCCACAGCAGGCGCGATCGCGCAAAGAGCCACAGGCGCCCGCCCTCAGACCAAGTACCCCTGCCACCCAGACACTCAAACACGCCCCCAGCGTCCGCTGGGGCCCGCCCGGCGAAGCCCCCGCCCCCTCCGCCCCGGCGGCCTCACCTGGCCAAGCTCCGGCCTCCGCTCGGCGCCTCTCTCTCCGCGCCTCCCTCCTGCTCGGCCCTGGGGCTGCCGCGGCGGGATGGGCCCGACCCGCGGCGGCTCCGCGCTGCCTCGTCACGGAGACACCCGGAGCCGGGGGAGGGGTACGGGCGCCAACAGCCACGCTCCGCCCCCTGTCCTTATGCCCCGCCCCGAGTAAGCCCCGCCCCACTCAAGACTCCGCCCCTTGCGGCGAAGCTCTTCCCCAGTCGGCGGAGCCCCGCCCTTTCGCAGGAAACCACGCCCCTTATAGGGCCCCGCCTTCGGGCCCTTGGAAGCCCCGCCCACCACTCTATTTTAGGAACTCCCCCGCCCAACTTCGCCAGCTCTGGGACTCTTAGGTAGTCTACGAGACCCCTCCCCCAGTTCGGGCTCCCCTGACCCCGCCCTCATTTCTGGGGACTCCCGAGTTCTCCTTGAGACCCTGGCGCCCCCTCCCCCACCGCGGTCTGGGACCTTCCCACTGGGCTGGAGGCCCCTTTCCCCACCTTAGGCCAGGGACAATCCACCTCCTGCCCGAGAACTCGCCTCCCAGATGGGGAAGCTGCGGAATTAGAGGAGAGAGGCAGGGGCGGGAAGGAGAGAGAAGGAAAATACTAGAGGAGGCGGAGGAGTGGGTGTGCGTCAGCAGGAAGGAGAGGAAAGCCGCCGCGTTTGACTCCAGTAGCAGACCTGTCTTCCCCCACCAAGCTCGGCTGCTTTCTTGCTGAGCAACCTCCGGCTGACTCGGGGCCCCCCAGGTGTCTAGGAACACCTCTCTCTCTCCCGCCAGCTTGCACACACTACCTGAGATGCCGCAAAGGGGATGGAGACCTTTGGGGGTTTGCAGTCCCCTCCGGTCCTGGGCTTGCAAGAGATCTTGTCTGTCAGTCTGTGCCAGGTGCTATGTGCTGTGCTTTGAACAAAATAAGCCCTTTAATTCTTGGGAGACAGGCACTATAATCACCCATTTTAAAGATGAGAAAACAGAGATTTAGGAACCTGACTTGGTCGTGGTTATTTTCCTAGAAAGGGCCCAAGAGTGGATCTCAGTTATGTGACTCCAAAGTCCGGACTCCTAACTTCTATACCTTGTTGTTATGACTTGGGAAGGCTGGACAGCACTCAGAGGTGCAGAGCCAGAGAGACCCAGAGATGCATCAGATAAGATCCCTAGAGCTCATTATCTCTTGGTCTGTTTGGAACTATAACCAAGAGCTGGGGGAAGCCCAGAGGGTGGACCTTTAATTTGCATCTTTGGAGTGCATGTTTTATTGAGGAAATCAAGGAAGGCTGCCCAGAGGAGGCCACCTTTGGCCCCAGTCAAGAAGGATAAGTGAAAGTTTGCCCACACATTCCTGAGAGGGGGCACACTTCCCCTCCGTCTCCCCAACTTGTTGTTTATGAAGCTGCCCATCTCCAAGACTCCTCCTGGGCCCCACCACATCCACACACCCCACTAACTCCGCCACCTAAAAATAGTCCAAGATACCAACTGCTTTGCCAACTGTTCTGGGGCCCCAGCAGCCAGATGAAACAAGAAAGCAGCTGACAGCACACCCTTTGAGGACAAAAGCAGTCATTAATCAAAGAGAAACTCCCTGAGAGGCCACCACAGGGCAGGCTGGACTGCTGAGCTGCCGGCAGCAGGTCATACAAATCCTGCACCACAGGGTAGCTTCCATCCCTGACTGCCTACAGTATGCCCACCTGCATGCCAGGTATGCACAGCCATAATAGAACACAGGGACACTGCGACAGTCTTACTCCCCTTTGCACTCCCAGCTTCCAGCACATTTTCTGCCAGAGCAGGCCCTCTGTGAACACGTACTGAATTACTGTTAGAATTCCCAGTTTACAGATGAGAAAAGTGAGGCTGGGGTGGGGGTGGGCAGCCAGGTCACACAGCCAGGCAAGTATGGAACTGACGTTTGACCAGAGCCCTCGTGCTATGACCTGACACCAGACTGCAGGAAGGGCTAAGAGAGGTTCCAAGGCTTTGTCCCAGGAGGCAGAGATTTCTCCTGTGGTAGAGCACTGGGCTTGGAGCTGCATGGTGGGTACAGCCAGACCAGGAGGGACCTCTGGGAGCACGTGATGAGCCTGATTGAAGCATTGCATTGTCCAGGTCAGGGAGAGGAAGGGTGAGTTGGAACATCACCAACAGACACAGAATCTCAAGTCCCAGCCTTGGCTTCTGGCTCTAAGGCCCATGCTCTGTCCTAAGAACTCCAGCTTCGGGACTTCCCTGGTGGTCCAGTGGCAAAGGCTCCGCGCTCCCAATGCAGGGGGGTCTGGGTTTGATCCCTGGTCAGGGAACCAGATCCCACATGCCGCAACTAAAAGATCCTGCGTGTGCTGCAACTAAGACCCGGTGCAGCCAAATAAATAAATAAATATTAAAAAAAAAAGAACTCCAGCTTCTTAATCTCTCTAGGCATCACTTCCTGTATTTATAAAATGGGAATAATAATAGTACCTTCCAGAAGTGGGATAAAAATGTGCAGTATTGTTTTGAAAACCTTTTTGTTCAGCCCCTCCCTTCTCTCTTCAATCTAGATCTTGACCCTATTGCTTCTTTTTTTTGGCTGCTTTGGGTCTTAGGCGAGCGGGGGCTACTCTTTGCTGCAGTGTGCAGGCTTCTCAATGTGGTGGCTTCTCTTGTTGCAAAGCACGGGCTCTAGGCGTGTGGGCTTCAGTAGTTGCAGCATGCGGGCTCAGTAGTTGTGGCACGTGGGCTCTAGAGCGCAGGCTCAGTAGTTGTGGCGCACCGGCTTAGTTGCTCCGCGGCATGTGGGATATTCCCGAACCAGGGCTCAAACCCGTGTCCCCTGCATTGGTAGGCGGATTCTTAACCACTGCTCCACCAGGGGAGTCCCAACCCTATTGCTTTTTAAAAAGGGGACAAAGAAAGGAACAAGATACAGCCCGTATTTCTTCAATTCTTGGGTTCAAGTGCCCAGGGATAGGGGCTGGCATAAACAGTTTGGAAGAGTATTTGTGCATCTAGTTGAGAAAGGATGTTGAAAACAAACAAACAAACAAACCAACAACAAATGCTTTCTGGGCTCAGAGGAATGGATAAGGAAGAGCTAAGATGCTGAGCTGTGCCTTTGAGGCCTTGTTGTAGATAGAAGCGTGGGGCTGGGAAAAGACAGACCCCTCAGATAGATTTAGGGATCCAAACCCTATTCCTTCAGAGTCCAAACTTGATTGGATCAGCTTGTGGAACAATTTATGTTCTAGGACATTGTTGAAAACAATAGAGAACTCAGCTGGCAATGAGTGGAGTTTAACAGCTGGGTGTGGTCAGGGAAAGAATCAGTCGAGGAGAGCTCTGCCCAAATCAGTCATCCCAGGTGACTGAGGTGGGCATGCAGACTGAGGACCAAGGACAGAGGCTTTAAACTCAGGCTGTGGGAAAGGGGGATGGACTTTACTAAAATAATCCACCCAGTCACTAAACAAGCAAATAACAATAGTAAGCCCTTGGGGGGTGGCAAATGCAAAGGTGCCACAATATATTATCTAAAATCTTCAGTTTCCAACAGGAAAGGATGACACATAGACTAGGAAAAAAAACAGGCAGGTGTCAGGATGTGGGGAAATTGGCACCCTCACACACTGACCGTGAGATTGTAAAATGCTGCAGCCACCAGCATTGCTTCCGACAGTTAAACATAGTTACCATGTGACCCAGCAATTCCACTCCTAGGGATAGGCCCAAGAGAAATGAAAACATATGCCCACACAAAAATTTTTACACACATATTTATGGTAGCATTATTCATAATAGCCAAAACGTGGACAACCCAAGTGTTCATCAATTGTTGAATGGATAAACAAAATGTAGTGTATCTATACAATGGAATATTATTCAGCCATAGAAAGGAACAAAGTACTAATATATGCTACAACCTTGAAAACATTATGCTAAGTGAAAGAAGTCAGTCATAAAACACTGCATGTTGTATGATTTCATTTACAAGAAATATCAAAATAGGAAAATCTATAGACAGAAAGTGGATTAGTGCTTATTTAGCCAGGGAGGGATGGTGGAATGAGGGGTGATAGCTAAAGGGTATGAGTTTCTCTTTGAGGTAATGAAAATGTTCCAAAATTGACTGTGGTGATGGTTACATGTATCCGTGAACATACCCAAAACCACTAAGCTGTACACTTTAAATTGGTGAATTGTATGATATGTGAATTATACCTCAATATAGCTTTTACTAAAAAAGAACAAAATAGAACAAAACAAAACAAGCAAAAAATAATAACATTGAGTAGAAGAAGCTAAACAGCAGAATTCATACTCTATAATTATATAATTATATTGATTATATTAATTATATAATCATACTCTATAATTATATTGATATAAATCTCAAAAATAGTCCAAACTAAGCTATGTCAGTTCAAGATGCTTACTTTGGTGGTAAAACTAATTAGAAAGGCAAGGAAGTTAACACCCTGAAAATCAGGCTGGAAGGAGAACAGCGGGCGCTCCGGGGTGCTGTCTGGGGTGCTGTCCAGGTTGCTGTCTGGTGTCTTGACAGAGTGGCACTCACCTGAGTGCTCGTTTAATGTTTGTTAAGCTGTACATTTATGTTGTATGAGCTTTTGGTTTGTTTATTGTATTTTATAATAAAAATGTTAAAAATAAGATGAGTTGGTTCAGGGGCGTCCCTGGTGGCTCAGTGGTTAAGAATCCACCTGCCATTGTAGGGGACATGGGTTCGAACCCTGGTCCGGGAAGATTCCACATGCCACGGAGCAACTGAGCCGATGCGCCACAACTACTGAGCCTGCGCTCTAGAGCCCGTGAGCCACAACTACTGAAGCCCACGCACCCAGAGCCTGTGCTCCACAACGAGAGAAGCCACCACAATGAGAGGCCCACGCGCCACAATGAACAGTAGCCCCCGCTCGCTGCAACTAGAGAAAAACCTGCACACAGCAACGAAGACCCAACACAGCCAAAAATGAATAAAATAAAATAAATAAATTTATTTTTAAAAAGAAAGAAAAAAGAAGAGTTGGTTCAATCAAACCCTCACATTCTGTAATTTGAATGGGTAGGGAGTTGTTCCAGCTGAAAAGTCAGGATGTAGAGGAGGCT